AAGCGCAGAGCTGCCACCCAGGCAAAAGAAAAATAGAAAAGTGAAAAGTATATTGTTCTAACAATTCACGTTTGAACAATATAATATCACGTTATTACAATATACAGAATTATCACGTTCGTACAATATAAATATTATATAGGCTACATTGCAGCTCCAGTCACGCTTCCATCACCGTCTTTCTCGTCTTTTCCCAGAGTAACAGCCAAACATTGGCTAGCACTGCTTAGCCTTGCATGCATTCTTATTTTAAACTTAATCTGGAATTCATGGCAAACTGTTTGTGCGGGATATGACTGACAAGATTTTGTTTTTCTGAGTTAGTAAAAAAACATCTCCAGTGTGATCAAATCTTCTTGCCAAACATCTGCAGCTTGGCAGTGTATACAGCACTATAATGACCAGACCTAATTCTTTTGAGAACCATACATCTTTCCACAGGTCTCAACTTCACCAGACATCACCTGGACACAGAGCTGGATAATGCCAGCACAAACAGCAGCCTAACCGACTAAGATGATGGATCCATGGGGTCAGGAAAGCCAGAAGCAGCGGAGCTGGAGAGGTACCTTTCATGTCGATTCACTGGAGGTGTGGATCTATTGCATGGCGTTCCTCACATCAAGAAGCTTTCGATCAAAGTCAATACAGCTCTTCCTGCATCTGGAGCTTGTGAAGGACTTCTTAGTCATGCAGGACTCCTGTTCACTGCTAAACAGTTACAGCTTCACAGAAAGAACCTTGAGAGCAAACTGCTGCTGAAGCTTAAGCATCACCTTACTGAGTGAAGAAATGGCACATTTTTGCTAAATATGCAGAAATAAATGCACACCCATACAGCTTATGGTAAACTGAGCTGCCTTGTATAAACATATGTTGAAGATGCCTCGTTCTAATGTTTTCTCTGGGGCTGCTGTGCCATTTGGAGCAAAAATTAATATAAAGTTTACAGCATATCTTGTCACTGGAAATTGTTTGCACTGTTTATATATTTATATTATTTACTGTAGGTATTGGTGAAGAAGCTTGTTTGAAAAATGTTGTGAAAATCTGAAATCTTGAAATTAGAATTGTTGTGCCTTAATTTGTTGATGTTTTTACATATATTCCTTTTGAAAATACTAAAATTTGTATATTTATTTATTTTTGTTTGTCTGATAGCATTTATTTATAAAATAAATCGGACATTTCAAACAGTTACTCGCTACTTGAGTAGTCTGTTCACCAAGTACTTTTTTACTCTTACTCAAGTAACTTTGTTGAAGACTACTTTTCACCTTTACTTGAGTAATAATATTTAAAGTAATGCTACTCTTACTTGAATACAATTTTTGGATACTCGACCCACCTCTGCATGTTTGTTAAACTGCAATAAAAATGATGGGGCACATAAGGATGTTGAGTAACTTGAACTCAACAGTATAATGTGGCCTCATAAAAATATTCATCCTTGATGATATTAGTGAACAAAAAACCTCCAAAATCATATTTTCAAATTTGTTGTCCATAACGCAGTTGAAAAATAACTAATTCGAATGATAATTTTAATTTTATTTTGTTTTTTTATTCCAACATTTTATATCCCACTACGTTTTTCTGACCGATCCCAAAACAAAATAGAAAACATTCTTTTAAAACAATTTATTACTTAGACTGTAAATTAGTATTTACAAACTCATAAAGCATAAAACTCCTAACAACATGTCACCCGTACTTGATGAGGTACGGGCTAAAGCATGGAGATACAAATGACTTGCAACACACACACACACACACACACACACACACACACACACACACACACACACCATTAACCTTGTACAACAGCAGCACAAGCTGAAGCACAATATGCAACACAAACTGTCCTCACCCAACTTTATTGATCATCAATGACACGTTCCATTAAAAGGGTCCAGGTGATCAGGAAAATTGACAAAATGTGTCCCAGTCAGAAAAAGGAGATAGGGAGGCAAAAGGGTTAAATTAAAGAGTTTTATTTAAGTTTCTATTAATAACTCAACTAAAAGAGAAGGACAAGCCGCTATGACCATTTAAAGAAACAACTCAGACATTGGTCAGTAAACTGAAAAGTAAGTAAAAAGAAAAAAAGAGTTTGGTCACCAAGCACTCCTCTCCACAGAGCAGGAGTAAATAATCACTGAACATAACTCTCTAGCTGCAACAACCAGAGCTCACCTTTCTCCTGCCTTAAATACCTTTAATTGCTGGTGGGAGTCAGCTGTTCAAAAGCAAAAAGGTGGCACCTCAGGCAGGACATACATAGGACACGCCCACACAGGCAACTTCAGGAGGAGGCCCTGCTAGGGCCGTAACAGAAACAAACACTCCTACAATCAAACACCAGTGAAACACACACACACACACACACATACAGGGACATTAGACAGAGCAAAACAAGAGAGAGAAATAAATAAAATCTGGTGAGCACGGGATGCTGAGGGAGCCATCCCATTAACTTTAATTCAATAAAAATTCATTTATTTTTCATTACTTTTTATTTCCTGGACTAGCAAAACTGAGGCTGGTCCAAGTTTATATTTGTTAAACTGAGCATGTGGATACAGTTGTGGCTCTAATGAGCAACTGTTTTTGGCCAAGAGTGACACTGAAGTCTTTAGAGTTGAATTTCATGAACGGGTTAATTTTTTAATCTCTTCAAATTTTGAGTTGGTGTGAGTAAGTATTGTTTAATATAAAGGGGGGGGGATCTGATGAAAAGAAAATCACTGGAGAACAGCATGAAATCACAGTTAACAGGATTAGGTGCTGTATGTCAGTATGAGCAAACAGAATGTAAGATGGCTGATTACAGACACCACCTGAGATTCAGCCTCAGATGCAGAAAAAACAGGATTACTCCTAAGAGTCTGCAAATGAGCTCTGTTAAGGCCTTGAAGCAACAAAAATACTCCAGAAAGCACAGCACCAGCTGAACGGGTAAGACAAACACATTTTTACCATCAACATGCTAACATTTAAAGAGGACCGGATCTGACAGAGACTACAGTTTTTCTGGATGAGAATACTCTCCAAAGGGTGTTTGATTTCACTAAAAAAAACTTGTCTATACCAAATGATTTGTCTGATAAATTCTTGAAAGGTTCCTCCTTTCCTCTCTCAGCTGCTCATTAAACACCTGACTGGCATCCACGTTCCTGTTTTCTTCAGTTTCCTGCTGCTCATAAACTATATTTGAGTTAGTGCAGTTCAATCACCTGACTGAAAAAAGTAAAACAAACCAAACTGACAGCTCTTTATTTCCCTGATTTTGCTCTTTTCTTCTTGCTGTATTAAATGTTGAGGCAGGATTGTGTTTTATTTCTGCATTACTTTAAGTTTTAAAAACGTCATCATGTTTATCCAAAAATAAAAGGAAGCCATTAATCTCTTAAACCTGCATCACTTCATTTCTCTGTGTTCTTAACGTCTACTGTAAAAATAATATATTTAGTAAATCACATTTAGCTGTTTTGACTCTTTGGTGTTATGGAGTCACAGCCTCTATAACAACACACCCTAACTCTGTTTTCTTGTCCAAATTCTGTATAAATTCATCCAGACGTCTAGAAAGGAGAGCTGCACCATCCAAAGTGGGATGGATGCCATCTTCCTCAATAAGACCAGGTTTTTCCCAGAAGGTTTGCCAGTTATCTAAGAATTTCACGCTGTTTTCTGAACACCATTCAGACAGCCAGCGGTTCAACGACAGCATGCGGCTATAGATGACATCATTGGTCTCATAGGGGAGGGGACCAGAGAAACCTACAGTGTCTGACATTTCTTTGGCAAAGTTACAAACTGATGCAATGCTAATTTTAGTGACCTCGGATTGACTGAACCTGCTGTCATTACTGCCAACGTGAATTACAATCTTCCCATATCTACGTTCATTCTGAGCCAGCAGTTTCAGATAAGCTTCAATGTCACCTGTTCTTGCTCCTGGAATGCAATTGATCACAGTTCCTGGAGTCTCTAGCTGCACATCTCTGAGTACAGCTTCACCAATAAGCAGAGTTTTTTCCACAATGTGTGGATTGTCTGGATTGGTTTTGGAATCTTCATCTGAGTTCTCCTCTTCCTCAGTCTTCTGTACTTGTTCCTCACTTGAGGGCCCTTCCTCAGTAGTTTTTGGATAAGAAATCATCTTTAAATATTCATATAATTCCTTCTTTTCTCCTCTCAGTGTTTTCTGTACTTCTTCAATCGTGTCTTCATCTGCCAGCCGATGAAGGAGAGGTCCACAGTAAAGCCTGACAAAGCAGAAAATCTCAGTTAAAGTTGATGAAGTGTGTTAAACATCTGTGGAGCGCATCATTGGTCTGGTGTTTACCGGGCACACTGAGGTTCTGGTAGAGGGGAACACAGCAGCTGGTTCAGGTGGAGGCTCTGCCTCATGCAGCACTGCCATTGGCTGAAAGCATGAGCCACACAGGGCTGCCATTTCCTCCTGATAGCTGCATCCTTTAAAGCTTTCATCTTCCTCTCAAACTCGTCCTCTAAAGACAAGATAAGACAAAGTTTCAGTGACACAGAACCAGAGACCAGCAGCAGTTTGTCTTCTTGTTCAGGCTGATGTGGAAGCATCAACGCTGCTGCTGTCACACAAACTCTGACTACAGGAAGTCTGACTACAGGAAGTCTGACTACAGGAAGTCTGATTACAGTCTTAACCTGCTGTGACATGCAAGGGCATGAGTCGTCTCTGTGGGCCCTCTTCCTTTCAGTGTAGCCAGTAGTGATTCATATTCTACATTTATTAACAGTCCACGATGTCCATGTCTGCACAGTTTTCACATTAATTTCCCAACACTTTGTAATCTACAAATATTTTTTGGTTAAATAAGTTTTATTTTGTGTATCTTGAAACATTGAAAACTCCGATTACGCTTGTAACACTAAAGACAACTAACAACATTTCACCAGAAACATGTTTTTGCCACTGTCATCCTCTGTCATGCTCACAATCTTCTTCTAACCTGGTCCCCTGTTAACCTGTTTAGAGCCTCAGACTGTTTTCAACCTGTTTGGTGTTGAAGGTCAACAGGGGTCAAAGCAGCTCATCAAGACACACCAGAATAACTGTAAATAATGTAATTATCTTTGTAACTGAGAAAGTTTAAATACATTTTGTACTTAAAGTGTTGATACTGATAGATACAACTGTTTATAACTTAAGGTCTCCGCTATATGAGCTCACCTTGTTTCCCATCATTTGGAGAGGAGGCTGTCGATGCTGCTTCAACCTCTCTGTTAGCTTCTGAAATCAAGGAACATCTTTCACATGTGACACTTTTTCATTGTTTTCAGTGACAGCTGATAGCTAAACCAGATTTTATTTTAAATTTTATAACAGTTAACTTCCCTCATTTTGCTTTTCTTGATTTTCTTCTTTTCATTTTTAATACCTTTTATTTTGCTTCCATGGGGAAAGATATCCCTCATGGTGCACATTTGCAATTACTTAGATAGAATAAATAAGCAGTGACGTCCAGTGTAGGGCGGACAACACAATTTTATAAGTGCCATCAGAAAGCCTCCATTATATTATTGTTTCTTTCTTAACCATTCTTCCATAAAAATCAATTGTAAGGTCACTGATGTTGGACGAGTAGGCCTTGCTCGTACTCTCAACTGTAAATCATCCCACAGTTGTTCTGTCAGGTTGAGGTCAGGACTCTGTGCAGGTCAGTCAAGTTTGTCCACATCAAACCTACTCATCCATGTCTTTATGGACCTACTTTGTGCAGTTATGTGCCGCAATGTTGGAACAGGAAGGGGCTGTCCCCAAACTGTTCCCACACAGTTGGCCAAAATGTATTGGTATGTTGTATTGGTACTGTTGTCCTGACCACCATCAAGAACAGACTCATCAGTCGGATATCCAGACAGAGAAGTGTGGTTCATCACTTTAGATAACATGTCTCCACTGCTCTAGAGACCAGTGGCAGCTTGCTTTACACCATTGCATCCCACTCTTTGCATTGTGGTTGGTGATGCAAAGCTTAGATACAGTTAGTCGCCATAGAAACCCTTTACACAAGGCTCTCTACGCACTGTTCTTGAGCTAATCTGAATGCCACGCGAAGTGTGGAGGTCTGTAGTGACTGTCTGCACAAAGTTGGTGACCTCTGAGCACAATGGGTCTGCTTACTCTGTAATTTTACATGGCCTACTACTTTGTGAGTTGCTGTCATTCCCTATCGCTCCCACTTTGTTATACTGCCACTAACAGCTGACTATGGAATTTTAGGCTATGTCCACATGTACACGGGTATTTTTGACAATGCAGCCTTTTCTATGCGTTTGGGCCTTTCGTCCACACGTAAACAGTGTTTTGGATCATTGAAAACTGAGATTTTTAAAAACTCCTGCCTGGGTGGAGATTTTTTAAAACTCTTTGCATTTACGTGTGGACGAGGAAAACTGAGATTTAGTCAACCAACGTCAAAGGTGTGCGCCTTTTTTGACTTCACACTGTGCGCCACGTTATTGTTTACATGAGATAAATTTCTACAATGGCAGATATAGACAAAATACTGTTGCTGTTAATCTTATTATCTGCAGTTTTTCCACACTTACATATACACACACGGAGTTACTTTCCCTCCGTTTAGAAAGACTGAGGTGTCAGAGTGAACTTCTACTTCTGTGGCTTCTACATTCAACACATATGCTCTCACAACCCAAATCCCAACGCCAAAGTCGTCTGTTTCGGACGAAGACTGGGTCGAACCACCTCTTGATAGACAACTTTGAAAGCACGGAGGTACTTCCAGACAAATGGCGAGAGAATTTTTGCATGTTGAGGACTTCACTTTTGGCTCTTTGTGAGCTACTTCGTCTGCACATTGAAGCCCAAACAACCAAAATGAAGTTGCCTGTCAGTGTTGTAAAAAAAAGTTGCATGCACACTGTATTATTTAGCTGATGAAGTGAGGTTATGCAAGACTGCACACACTTCGGACTATTAAGGCAAGTGGTGTTGAAAATAGTAAGACAAGTTTGTACGGCAATTACTGTTCACTTGGGCCCTGTGTTTATACAGTTACCACCAAGTACAAAGTAGAGGAACTTGTAGCAGGGTTTTACTGAGCCTATGGAATTCCTCAGTGTATTGGTCCTGTGGATGGGACCCATGTGGAAATAAAGCAACCATCCATGAATTCTATGGACCATGTTAACAGGAAGGGGGAGTTTTCTCTGAACGTACAAGCCACCTGTGACTACAGGTATTAATTTATTGATGTTGCGTTGGCAAGGCAGTGTACACAAAACCCATATTTTTGCAAATTCTATGCTGAACACACATTTGAAAAATGGCATGAACTGTGGAACATAAAGAGGCATTTCAAGTTTTCCTTATTGAGGATCCAGCATACCCATGGCTTCCTTACCTAAAGAAAGAATACGCAACCGTGGGAAGCACTGCTCACGAACACTATTTTGGACTATGCTTATGTCGAGCTCATTGAATTTGTTTTTACAGACTGAAAGCATGGTTTAGAGCATTGCAAAGGCCCTGGCAAGTCTCCCAGTTCGTGTTTTTGTGTGTTTTTTCTGTTTTATATTCCAGCGTGATATTGAGGAATAATTCCACCTCACTGTCTCTCCACACATAGGACTCCTTTCTGCTTTTATGTGCCCTATTTGTTTGTGCTTAACTGGCCAAAATGGTTAGGATTATTTTGCCACCTTTTTTTTTTTTTTTTAGCATGTTCTTGACAGCATTTGATTTGTTTTTTGCCTTTACATGTGGACAGAGATATTTTTTCAAAACCGCACGTGTGGTCCGGATTTATTTTTTTTTAACGAAAACTGAAAATCTCTGTTTACAAAGGTACCTGTGTACATGTGGACATAGCCTTGGTAGGCAGGAAATTTCATGACTGTAGTTGTTACACAGGTTGCGTGGTACCATATTGGAATTCACTGAGCTCCTGAGAGCGAAGCATTCTTTTACTAATGTTTGTAGGAGCAGTCTGCATTCCTAGGAGCTTGAGTTCATACACCCTAGACCACGAGAGTCACTGGAACACCTGAACTCAATGATTTGGATGGGTGAGTGACTA